ATGGGAAAGAACAAATTTTTAACACCCAAGGCAAATTGCGAACCAAATAAAGGCGAAGGGTCTCCAGAATCTTCAATGATACTGCCAGATGTGTCAGAAACAGTGCAGGGACGAGAACGGCTTTAAGTGCCATTGTATGAGTGAGACTCACCAACGCCAAATGCAGGTCTTTGGCCAAGGCCCTAACCGAATCATAGATGGCTACTCCAAGGAGTTTGAGAACACCTTCCTTAAGCACATGAAGTGCAGCCACCGTTTTAGCTGTATCGCAGCCACCGTTTTAGCTGTATCGCAGCCACCGTTGTATACAATGAATATAGTTTGGATCGTCATCATATTCATATGAATTCCACTCAGTGGACTACGTTGACTGAGTTTATGAAGTATTTGGGTCGAACTGGCAAGTGCAAGGTTGAGGAGACCCCGAAAGGGTGGTTTATTACTTATATAGATAGAGACTCGGAGACCCTTTTTAGGGAAAGGATGAAAAATAAGCGAATTAAGGCTGGTGTTGTAGAGGAAGAGAAGCAAGAGAGGGAAATTAGAAAGCAAATCGAAAGGGCAGAACAGTTAATGACCGTGGCAAATGGGGATGCACAATCTTTGGGCTTTGCACTGCTGCCACTGCTAAAGTCAGAGGGTGGTTAGAAAATTGCATTTGCACTTGGTTCCTCTTCAAAACAAATTGAAAAAGAAAAAGGCAAGAGCTCCAATTTGGTATTTGAAGAGGCGGAGAATGATGCTAACAGAGAGAAAGTCAAAGACAACGGCAAATCAGTAAAGGGTTGGGGGAGGTAGTAAATCTGCTTTGGATGATTTGATGAGAGAGAACGAGAAGGCAAAGGCGCAGACTAATAGAAAGGATTATTGATTATGTGAAGGAATCATTGTTAATGTCATGAGCAAGGCACTGGCTGAAAAGGGGTTCTATAAGCAAAAGGGTGTTGTGCGTAAGGTGATTGATAAATACGTGGGGGAAATTGAAATGCTTGAAAGTAAGCGAGTGCTAAGGATTGATCAGGAAGAGCTCGAAACAGTGATTCCACAAATTAGGGTTTTATTGAGAATAGTTAATGGGGCATATCGGGGACCAAGTGCATGCTTGCTTGAGTAGACACAGAATTTTTGTGCCAAGGTGCAGATTGAGAAGGGTTTATATGATGGCAGGGTGCTCCAGTCTGTTGAATATGAGGATATATGCAAAGTTTTCCAGTGAGATCTTCATTGGTAGGTCATTGAAATCCATGATTGCAAGGCTTCATTATGAGTTTAATTAGGATGTTGCTAACTGTGCTTCAATTCTAAGTTTGTGAGCCTTGACTTCTGTAAGGTTAAAATTGTCTTTTTAGTATCTCATTATTTATTTGTCATAATTCACTGCATGCAAACAAAACATAGGTCATATGCATACGCCTATACTGGCTTTAATCATGCATACATGTATGTGAATTTGTGAACTTATCACATCTCCATGTGCAAATGATTGCTGGGATAAGTAATTGAAGCTTTCAATAATTATAAATGTTTCCCTTTTCAAGAACATTACTAAACAGACCAAAAGTGTGGGCAGCCTATATATGAGCTCTTGGTCTCAATATGGATGTTTCATTTTTCATTCAAAAAGATAGATGATTCAATGAATCCTAACAGCTTTGCCCAACAAAAAGGTAAGATCTTATTTTGATATTTACGTTGTTGTCCATTAACTGTTCATGCTCTGTGTGTGTTTGTTCTTGTGTTTATGGGCATTCGGTCATCCATGATTAAGCAACACCGCACCCCTCATCTGATCTTTGATCAGCCTTTATTAGGGAGCTCTTGGTGATCCCTGAAATTGTAATAACTGCTTGATAAATCATATTATCATGTTTAAAAATAGGTTAAATATTGAATTGAAAATGGGTACAGGTACAACTAATAGATTATTATTTTCATTCGTTCTGGTTCAGCTCTATTTCTTACCATACGAGTTTTGTGTTTTTGTCCATCCTTAATGCACTCTAACAGATTAAAATTTGTTAGATAATCCAGTATTGAAAGTTGGAACAGTTTGTGAAAATAAAAGTGCAATGGAACAGATAAAAGATGACACCATGATCATCTCCCTTAACCCTTAGACACGCTGTTCATTATCTACCCTGTACCTTTCGTTGCCACCATGATATATTCCTCAAAAATACATCAAATAATGAAATTTAGTCGTATTGATTATAGTATTTCTGGATTTTCATGATTTTTTATGAAGGCAAAAGATGAGGATCATGATGATTGATGGGATTGTTGAATCAAATATTTTGAAGGTTGAGTCCATCTGGAGGATGAAGAGATTCCATTTACTATGTTACACATCAACATAAATCCTCTGTTCACCGATCTAGTGCTCTCAACTAGCACTCAATTTGAAGATTCAAGGGGGCTGCATATTCAAGTACGGTTTTATGGTTGGAATAATGATCACTCAATCTGATTGTGGACCTGCATAGTGTTCATATGAGAAATTGCTTATATAGAAGGTTTTGTTTAAAATGTGACAAGTCAGTTTTGTCTCCTCTCCTGTTAAAGTGAAACGTAGAGGGTTCAAGTATGTGTTGTTTGCGGGAGTTATTTGCCATGAAAAAAAAAGACCAGTTTTATCTGAATCGAGTATGCGTTTAATTGTAGCATTTTCTTTTTGCACCATAGCGCAATTGCGTTCTGAAAGTTGCATATTTTTTTATCAGTATTTCCCATGTCCAGATCTTCTTTATCTAAGCATGTTAGACATTTTAGCTGTACAAGCATTGGTAATGTACTGTCAATGGCATGAACCGTTTGTTGAGGCTTCGTGGCAAAAAAGTGTTTGGCAACTGTTATTCTTACCGGTTCTGCAGGGAATATCAGACTATGTACAAGTTCAGGAAGGTTTAGAAAGTGTTTTTACTATGAATGCGGTGAAGAAACAGAATGAAAAATAGGAGTTTATAATCTCTTAAGACCTAGAAAGCTGAAAGTTTGAATTCTATTAGGACTTTTATGATGGTGACAAGTGATTCGAGGGAATAACATAAAGGAAAGTTGATGTATTCCAATCTTCCAATGTGAAGATATATATCTGTGTACAAGACTAAAGTAGGCTTAGTGTTTTACCTGCTTTCCTTTCTTTTCTTTGTTTCAGATTCTCACCCAATCTTGCTAATGTCAGCAGAAGCACCCTACTACTTTACCTTCTCTCTTTTTTTTTTCACTTTACAATTTATTATCTCTACACATTTAAAAATTAGTCCCTCTAAAAGAACAGGAAAATTTAGATTTTACATTTGAGTAGGGGAAAAAAATCTTGTGGACATGTTTAAGTGTGATTGGAGTCATGGACCATTATATGCCTTGATTTAGTATCATCTTTTTATTCTATATCGTTTTTGCCAAAGCCATATCAGTGCATGCATAGCATTTGAAAAGAAATAAGGGATGGGGTTAGGAATTCAATTAGGACTATTTCAAGGCTCAATTAATAATAGGGTAAAGTGCAAATAACCCCCCTGAACTATGGGGAAATTTGCAACTAACCCCCTGAACTACCAAAAATGCAAAAAACCCCTCAAATTATACAAAAAAGTTGCAGATCACCCCATCCGGTGACCGGCCGTCCAAAAATGAGCGCGTGATTCACACGCGACAGACAAACTAAGTTTTTTGGACAATAATGCCCTTCTATATATGAAAATACCAAATTATCCTATAACCACCACCACCGTCGTCTACGACCACCACCACCTTCTGCAACCACCAACATAACCACCACCACCGTCCGCAACCACCAACATAACCACCACGAAACCCTCCTGAACTCATGCCAAAACACACCGTTAAACGAAATCAAACCCACCACCATCACTACCACCTCCATCGGCATCTCAACGGCACACCACCAAACCCAATCGAACCAGTACACAAACCCACAGCCACCACCCCAATCCCGCCACCACCATCACCCGTCATCACCAACCACAGCCTAACCTTCTCTCCATCAAACCCATCACACACCGTGAAACCAAACCCCCACTAACCCACTGCCATCACCCCCTTCAATCACAATCTCTGGTTCTCCCTCGGGAACGAAGGCGGTATGGAACTGCTACTCGGTGGCGTCGAATTCCGGTCTGATAGCGGAGCACTAGTATGGGCGGCGATGGATCCGTATGCGAGCAACGAAGCTTTCAATTGCAGCAACGGCGATCTGTTCAAGTGGAAGCACTTGTGGAGAATGATTGCGGAGTAATTTGGGGTCGATGAAAACGAGAAGTGGGTGACCGTCCCGATCGGAACAGGGAGGTTGGTGGATGAGGCGAAGCTCGGCCGCTGTGCAGCTAAGCCGCAACCAGCCCATCGCCGCGAGTTAACCATGGCCGAACCAGCCCATTGCCGTTCAGCCCACCTTGCTCGCCGGTCCTCTCCACCATCCGAGCTCATTCCAGCTGTCACCGCAAGAGACGGTGGCGGGGCAGGCGCAGGAGATGACGGCAGCGAGATCCCAGCGGCGACGAGGATGATTTGGGTTTTGACGCGTCGACTCCGCATCGTCACCATAATCGCCGACTTACCTCCTCTTCCGTCACCATAATCGCCGCCGCCGCCACCATCTTTTTCCTTCATTTTCTTCATGATTCAATCTCCAGCCTGATGCTTCTCTCTCTCTTCAATCTCCAATGTTATATATATATATAAACACATATATATAAATTCAGAAACACACCAGAAATATATATATATATATATATATATATATATATATATATATATGTTTATTTATTATTTTATTTCTTTATATATATATATATATAATCATAAGGGCAATTCAGACTTTTTATTTTTCCGGTTAAGTCGGTCACCGGAATGGACTGAAATGCAACAAATTCATAATTTAGGGGGTTTTTTTTAGTTTAGGGGGGTTAGTTGCAATTTGTCAATAGTACAGGGGGTTATTTGCACTTTACCCTTAATAATATTTGAGTTCTGTTTTGCTGTTACCCTATACAATTATTAGAAACCTAGCTGACTAGTGTGCTATTCTAATTTTCTGCAAGCAACAGAACTTTGTTTCATTTGAAAATTAGGACAAACCATAGAGGATCACGATGTTGATTGCATTTTTTTTTCTTTGATGTTCCCAAGGGATATGGTAGTAGTTGTTGGAAAACGATTGATATTAAGTAGTAATAGTTGTCTCAATTACAACATTTTATTATTGAATAGTGACTAAATATAATACATATTTATATATCTAGACACGTTTATATCTCATTATTGTACAGTATTTGTTAACATTGAGCTTGCAATTTCGGCGAAGAATCAGCCTTGTTTACCTCTTCGAGTTACTCCCACTGGATTTCCTTCGTCTTTCTGTGTTTTCCTTTTCTTTTTGAATTACTAGTTTAAAGAAATGTGCCTCAATTTCATAAAATTTTACGCGGCTCTTTTATTTGCATGTTCCTCCTGAAAATCCCTTGGGGATGTTTGTTTGTCACCGATTGCTTTACAGACACAGTCCAAAAATCTTTTCCAATGCATGTAATGATATATAAGGTTTCACAAACATGGTGGTAACATCTTTGGAAGCTATACTACACTACAAATTTGGGTTCTAGTCCATTTGGTGAGTTTCCAATCAAACAAACACATAGTCCAAACACCTTTTGAACATGAGACTTTCCTTCATGAGTTTCATTTTTTAGCTCTGTAACCAAACAAGTTGTAGCACCCATGTTTAAGCCCATTGTATGGTATAGTATATATGGTTCAGGAGAGATAAAAAGGAGGGGTAGGGTAGGCCACACTACCCATAACAGCAAAGTGGTTGGCACTTTTATTTAAATCACCTAACATCAAGTGGCTATTTAGAAATCAAGACCCTTTATAAAAAACCATTTGAACAAGACACCATTATTTCCCAGTCTTCCCACCCAACATGGATGGTCCGTCTCACCAAAAGGCCTTCCATTCTCTCCATGTTTTCTCCGTGAAGTCACCACCATCTTCTACCTTAAGCTCCATGAAACTCAAAACCCTAGTTCACACACTCATCTTGTCACGTGTGTGTCGCGTGGCTCGTGCTCTCTCCAAAGTAAAGTCCATTCTCATTGAGCTTCTTAAGGAAATCCCACTCTCTCACTTCATATACCCCATGAAGATGAAGAAGAAGAAGAAGAAGAAGAAGAAGAAGAAGAAAACCTTTGGTTCATTTCGAATGCACTATAACTGGTGCTCTTCTCATGTCTTGCCAATGCCTCTTGACAGGTTTCCTACAAGCCATGTTTATTATGATTCTACATGGAATTCTATTGTTTCTACCGAGTGTGATGATAGTGCGGAGTCACAGCTCTCCGGTTACCTCCATTGGCTCGAAGAGAAGGTTCGTGACAATTCTAAGACAGAGGACATGAACGAGATTGATCGGCTCGCTGATATGTTCATTGCAAACTGCCATGAGAAATTCAAGTTGGAGAAACAAGAATCTTACAGGAGATTCCAAGAAATGATGGCTAGAAGTGTGTGAGAAGGGTCTTTATAACTATTTTCTCTTTTTGTTTCTTATTGACTTTTGTTACAATTTTTTTTTTTTTTTTTGTGTACTCCAAGATGGGGATTGGAGAATTGTAGATGATGGGGGGTGTGGAGAATTGTTCAATTCTGGTGTTTATTGTTATGCTGGTGGAAATTAATTAAGCTTCTAAATCCCTAGAGCCTGGTAGTTTTCTTGAAATTTTGACTTATTAGTGATGGATTTTGGATAAGTTTCTGGTGCTAATTTTGAGTAAAATTTGCAGGTATTAGTGCTAGTTTTTGTGGTATGTGTAAAAGTACTATAACACCCTGTGTCTTTACAGATGACTAGTGCATAAATTTCCCATTCAAACAAAAAAGACGTTAGTTGTCTCTAGTTTTCTTATTGGCCCTCTATTTATTTTTTTGATATTGAAAGCACCAAACTCAGTGTCTCACCTAATACTACAATAGTGAAGGTTTTGGTTTTGAATGATTTGAAGCAGTGGTTTGTCATGCCAATTGCAAGTATGTTGAGTACGTGTCATATTATTATTATAGTTGTTGAAACCCATTTTTGTTGTGATTCGCTTAATAATCATTTAGGTCCATCCGCAAATTAAGCTTAGCCTAAGTAGGACCAGGTCGGCCCCTCCTTTTTATATTAATTTTGGAATAAGTTTCTCTCAATATGGGGCCCCTTTTAATGCGCTTTTGATTTCGAGTGAAAAAGCTGTAACACACACTAAACTAAAACAGTGCGTTAATTATTAATTAATTGAGTATATTTTATCCAGAGAAGTGAAGTGATTTACAAAAGTTGAAACGGCGGATTAATTAATTTTATAGATCATTATCCATATTTACTATATTTGACTGTGTTATCATGTATATTATAGTTCAATTATCATTTTCTTGCAGGGCTCAATTATCAATAAAGCACGATTATAGTTCAATTATCACTAGTCTATATTGCGCAGCAGTTTGGATCACTATCAAAACTGAATTGGTGGTACCGGATAGAACCAGCTATATTATATATATATATATATATATATATATATTGTTGTTCCATAAATACTTCATATTATGATTTGGAAAGTAACTAAAAAGTCTTCTTGCATTATGCATCATTTCTCACTCTTTACCTGCACTTGGTAACCCCTTGGTTACGAATCGAATCTTTGTAGTTTCAAATGCCTAAATATATATATCCTGTTCTTTCTTATGCACTTTCACCATAAAGTATACAATGTTTGTGAATATTTACACATGGCACTGTCAATAATGCATTGTCATTTCTTTTACTTTTTAAAGTGAATAGTGAACGTTCGAGTTTTCAAAAGAGCAAAGTAGTGTATTTGAATTTCTTACCAATGACAAAAAACAGAAAAAAAAATAATAATAATAAAAATAAAAGAACTACTTCATCTTATGCTTTAGAAGAACTAAAACCAGTCAAGTGATGCTTTTAGGCAGAGTTGTTTCGGATGCAAAGTGGGGTGCTGAGGCATCAACAATGCTTCTTTCATCTCCAGTGTTTCTTTATTCCAAAACTTCTTTTCTTGCTTTTTTAATATGTGTGTGTGTGTGTGTGTGTGTGTGTGTGTGTGTGTGAGAGAGAGAGAGAGAGAGAGAGAGAGAGTTCAAAGAATCAATCAGCAGAGGCAATTTGGTTCCTTTGGTCTCCCTGTCCTTGATTCTATGAAATTGCCTTTGCATAAAAGTGAAAGCCTCAATTTTCTTGGGATTTTATTCCTATTTGGATAAGTGTTTAGAGTAGGAGAAGATGTGGGGTTGTCTTTCTACTTATCATCTAAAATGTTGTGGCCTGTATGACTCTTCACACCTTAAACTGGAGCAATAAAGCTAGTGCGGTACATGCCTACAAAGGGCTCATTTTAATTAGGCATGAGCATGGTTTGCAATATTGGTCAATACGCGATCTTTTTTTAAGTTCGATACGTGATTCGTATCGGTCAGTTTACACTGATTTTGTCCGAATCCGTTACACCGCGATCGCGACCGTGACCGATACTGCAAACCATGAGTCAAGTGCAATTACTAAAATTGAACCTAGTTTTAAATGAAATCATTCATTTGTTTTGATACTTCCAACCAATAGTTGTAATTTAGTAGTATCTCCTCTACTTTTAAAAATAAATTTATGAGTGTTCAAGTCTTTCAGGGACTTGGAACATATTCGGTTTCATTCACTTTGACAAATAAAAAATTTAAAAGGAAAGTAAATTGCATGGAATTGGAATTGAAATTGAAATTGGAGAAAAAATAGTTTAAACTTTGAATTGAATTTTCTTTAATTCAAATTTTAAGTCATCAATTCTACGCATCCGAACATAACTTTAGACTATTTGCGTAATGCAGCATCTCAGAGTTTAAGAAAGCAAAAAGGCAGTTGTCGATGCTCGGAGGAAGCCCCAAAGTTTAAGATTGAGAAATGATGGTATAGAAAGTAATGGTGCTTCTTTTAGGACTACCTTTTTGCAACATGCTTCTCCTACAAACCCACTATCAAAATTTTGAAGAATAATATGATACGTGGTACATGCTACAAGTCTACAAGACTCATTATGATTAGGTGGAGCCCATTTTCATCAACTCGGATCCATGGTAAGTAGCAGTAGGCCCAATAAGTAGACATAAATACACAATAAGCTATTATAAACCAAGCCCATAACTAGTACCGGCTCAAACTACGATTCGTGGCCCAAATATGGGACTAAGGATGCTCTCTGTCTGTTGTCCAATTTGCAAATAAATTAGAGTTGATGTCTGTCAAATCAATATTTACACACACATACTCCGTGTGTGTGGATCATTGTGTTGAGGGTAATGATTTGCCACCTAAATCACCCTGAAATTATTTTAGAAAACCGAGTTCTTGAATCCTGGTCATCATAAGTGAAGGGCAACGTTGTAGCTATATTTTGGGCAATAATGCAAGTTTTAAGCAATTTAATTAGAATCCAGGAACTAATTAGTCACAGTTGGACTAAATCATTGCTATTTTCCATATAGAATGGAAGGGAAAACATTTTATTGGAAACATTTTTTTGGAAACTATTAGAACAATATATTTTAGTTTTTCCATTGCTCATAATTCATTATTGGGTACAATCCGTTCTTGAAACATCTACATTATTTATCATCAATTTTTACTAATCAATAATCAAACATAATTTGCCCTAAGCCATAGCCACGTTGGCAGAGGTCTGGCTTTAAAATCACACTCTGAGGGAAAAAAATTAAAAAAAACAAACATATTTCTTAATCATAACAGAACTAATTGCCAAATTAATTTTACATGTTTTCTTGTACACTCTTGAGACATGCATGCCGCAGGTCATAGTCATATAAGTCTACAATACAAATAACAAATCAACGCTGAAAATATATATATCTATATATATAATCAAATAAAATAATAAAGACTATAAATAAACTGATTGTTACTGGAAAAAGAAAGATTAGAACAAAAATGAAGACCCAAGAAAGATAACTTCTTCCCTGTTAGGATCCTACAAAATTTGGTAAAGATGATCAAAGTTGCTAGTTCTGGGTAGGGTTGGGGACGCTTTGCGGCGCCGTCCTCAGGCTTTGATCAACAGATTTCTGAGGATCTTTGGTGGCTGCAGCACTCAGCTTGTGTAGATCTTCAAACACAGCATCACTACTTGTAGAGAACAACAATTTCCTTGATTGGTATGATCTCTTTTCATGGTACTGAATATGTAATGAAGAGCACATGATGATCAAGATCATGTGAACTAGAATCAAAGAACATATCATCAGAACACCCAGAGTTTTGCAGCTGATCTTCATCAGAGTACTGATCACTACTGGTTGTGTGAACAAAAAGATGGAAGGGTGAGAGTAGGTTATATCTATCTATCTATCTATCTATATATATATGACAGCATATATGCATGCTCGCTGATCTCACTGCATGTGGTTTGTCACGACCTTATGATAAAATATATATGTACATATTAAAATTTTGAAGTGTAACAAATGTTTGTGTTTGTGAATAGTTAATGAAAGAAAGCTAGTATATATATAGATCGCTTAATGAAAAATTTCCCTAATCTTGAATTGGTTGTTGCAACTTGGAAGCAGCGGATCATGTGATGCTGAATTGACTATTACTAATTTACTATATATTTTCTGACTACAAACACAGATTAAACTATAAAATTCATGTGATTAAACACGTGAATCCTAATCACCAACTATGCTTGTTATAAATTTATGTGTGAATTTATAATTAATCAGTTCTTTAAATTTAATTAATTAGATTTTTTATGTGTGAATCTGTGGTACTAGTACCACTGCACTAGTCAACCGATTTAGTTGTAAAGGTCTTCTATTATTCAAAGTATAGCATGTGTACAATCTTTTAGCCCCATTACTTTTAGGGTCCTAGCTGGCTTATCACCTAAAAATTATTATTTTCTTTGAAGGATCTTCTTTTTCCAATATCGATATACATATGGTTGAATATGTAACATGGAGTTCAAGAATTATATATTGAACTTTTTATAATAACACCCCATCGATTATGCATCTTGGTGAACAAAAAAAGAAAAAAGAAAAAACCTCATTATAGCTAAATGGGACTTGTTTTCTTCAACCAAGTTTTTTTTTTTTTTTGGAGAATTCTTCTTCTTCAACCATGTTGCATTAGAAAAAATAATAACAATTTTGGTGCAGAAAATGTTTGTATTGATGACAAATTGTGGCACTATTCAAATTATGTCCCTCAAATAAAGAGAAGTGATAATCAAAATAAGTATCCACGTTTTGTCGGTCAGGTATACTCTGATCAAGTTAGTAATCGATCAACGTATGTTATACCTTTCAAGTTAATTGGTTAACTTTATTTTTATAAGAGATGAAGCGATGACTACGTTTGAGTCTGAAATTCCTCCCATTCCCTTATCCGCTACAATTTTGAAAGAGATATTAATAGATCTTTGTTATTGTTTCAATTCCCTCTCCACGTCAACTTAATTATCAGTTTGTTTGTCAATATTCATCACTGAAATCTTCAGTGCCAAACATCGCCTTATGATAAGTGTATTATGCTTGTCCCTCATCTTGTAGCTTCTTCAATCTTCTCTAAATTTAGGTGAAATAATGCATTGTAGTGGGAATATATGACACTGTGACCTAACTGTACCTGACATTGAAAATAGCATGTCTGTATCTTTTAACCACCAAGTCTTAGCTGGTTCATCTGCTAATGTTTCATTACTCTTACTAATAATTCAATTATATATTCATCAACCATCTTCTTGTTTTGTTGATTAACATTTAACATGGAAATCAACACCTTTATATAATTTACTCCCATCACCCATCTTGGTGTTATTTTTTGCGTCGGTAACTACGGTATGTTCTTTAAATTTTAATTTATATATAGCAAAACTACATTACATTTGTTGAAGTGAAAATCAGCGCGATTTAGAACGACAACGTTTACCTGTAAAACAATAGAAATTATGTCACCTCAATTGGCACCGGTGGGATGCCGACCGAGAATCCTCGGACAATCAAGTCCTTAGAATTGTATAACCGAAAAGTGATTCTGTATTAAATGTTCAGGAGTTTTTTTTTTATCTTTTGTTTAATAGCCATCAACTATATTTATGGTTACATTGTGATCTAAAAGGTTACGTAGATGTCGATCAGAGAAATTCAGTTTATCGTTTCTAACTAATTTTCTCTATCTTTGTTAACTCAATGATATCATAGAGTTTTATTATACTATTTTCTAAGAAGTTAAAGGAAACAGTACGATTAAGATATTGATCAAACTTATAGATATTTTTTCCCAAACAACACAGTGTGGTGGTAAAATTCCCATCCAAAAAACTTCACGGACATAAAGATTATCTTCTAGCATGAAATCCATAAAGATATCTAAATGAAAAAATAAAAATGAGATATTTATAGAGAAATTGGTGTTATGTTTAGGTTAACTCGCATTACCATCGGGTGCACATGTTCGGCCCGAACAATTAGTTGCACCAGTTCGACCAGGCCGGTTCAGTCACGCCCCCATTTGACCGGTGGCCCTAAGAGTCAATCTTCTAATGTGCCTGCCACTCCCGATGAAAGAACTACTTTTGGATTTAATTTTTTATTTACATCTTGACGTTTATATTGTTTGGTAACCATTAGAATTAGAAGCGCTTTTAATGGTCAAATTTAGTTGAGAGTGTTTAATAGAAATGGAATATTTTAAGTAATTTTTTTTTATTAAATTTTTTATTTTTTTATTTTTTATAAATACAATTATACCCTTTAATAAAGTTATTATTATCAAGTATGATAACATCATTATTAGAGGATATTATTGTAAAATTATTAATTATTTAAATATAAAAAATTAATGGTTAAAATTGTTACTAAATAAATTAAAAAATAATTTAATTGTAATAAGTATTTACTATAATATGTCATAAAAGAATTTTTTTTATTCTAATAACAATTCCAAACGTACTCTTTAAAAAATCAAAGTTTCTACTATTAAACCTCATCTTCACCTAAGATCATTAAGTGGGCCTCCTTAATCGGGGCGGAGGGGACTGTTATGCCCTTCTATTTGGGCCTATAAAATCCCGCAAATCAAAGCCGACTTGAAAAAGACCAAAAGTGGCTTTAAATTTCCCCATTCCCTCCGTCGATTGTCCCATTAGGTTCTATATATATACTCCGTATACAGTTTATGTAATTTGTATACGCCCTCTCTCTATCTCTCCCTAACTGATAATTTTTGCGACTTTCATGTAATAAATTCATTATTTATCCATATTCTTCTCTCGAGTCGACTCCTGAATTTAATATTCACGTCCAAGAAACTTGACGCAGATTCTTCTCTGACTTTATGGGATCGTTATACTCGGTGGAACAATCTTGTTATGGACTATGAACTCGCCGACAGCAGCGGTGAGCTAATCATCATATTTTATTTATATGTATATAAATTGATACACACAATGTGTTCCTTGAAGGTATCGAATTATTCTCCACGGTTTGTTTCAAGATTTAGGGTTTTGAATGTGAATGGACTTTAAATGGGTTTAAATTTTGTGAAAAAAGGGAAGAAGAAGAAAACCTAGTTTCTAAATTCGTTTTTTTTTTTTTTGGTTAAATTAGGGTTTACAGACCCTATTATAGATTTTTTTTTGTCTTGGAGATAATTGTATCTTCACTTCTTGCCACTATCTTCTCTCTTTTTTTCGCCTAACTAGATGACCAGGAAGATCTTTTTCCCGTATGGCATTTAGGGTTTGAAGTTTTTCTAGGAATGCTTTATTTACTTATCTTGATCTTTTGAAGTTCTATGAGTATTTGAACTTATGTACAACTGGCAACAGAGTCCCACATGCCAATTAGATGAAACTTCTTCTTAACACCCCCTCCCAGTGATCAAGAATTTTTGTCCCCAAAGAAAAGTGGAATTTATTGGAATATTAACCATGATTATGACCCATAAGTTAAGTAGTTGATTGAAATATAAACAACAAATAACATTTGCAAACTCAAAAATAAATGTCAAAAAATCATTTGAAGCCTACACAACTCAAATAGTCATGTAACTTGTAATTCGTTGGACTGAAAAGATTAACACCCCACAATGCTATGTTGATTCCCTGACACCGCCCCTCGTTATTCATCTTAACTGTGTCTCTTGCCATTGTGGATAATAAATCTTTACTTTACGGCAAGAACGATACAGAGTGATTTTTACCATTGTGTAAACTTAATCTTACTACTGGACAGAGTGATTTGGTGTTGGTTAGGTCTACCCCTGTTGATTTTCAATTTGTTATAAGCTCCTCTTTCTATGTATATCTCTCTCCTTTTCTGGCAATACAATGTGCCACAGAAGGTCTTCTCTCGTGCGGGTAATTGTATACTTGCAGGGTTATTTTTTCCTTCTTCCTCTTTTCTTTTTTATTGTTTCGAAGTAAAAGGGAATGACTAATGTATAGTAATATGTTGATCATTAAATCTCTACCTCCCGTGTGTGAGAGGGGAGGAGGGAGGGAGAATAAACAATTATCAGTTCTAACTAAAATTTTCCCCACGTATGTCTGGTCCGACAATTATTGTGAAATGACCAATTTCTTGTGATATCTCTTTTAGAAGAATGTTCCCCCCTCCCTTCTTTTTCTAGGTTAACTCTTGCCCAAAAATATACTCAAAAAAAATATATGAATTATGATGGTTCTTCTCAGTAATTGTGAATTAGCACAATTGAAGGTGCTAGAAGGGGATAGGAAGTTTAGAACATGTGGATGAATTTACTCAAAATTGATTTACATCTCTCTCCATAATTCATACTTCTGGTTAGCACATGGGTGAGATTTAAGTTGCTAAATATTTGGAAGAAGGCATTGCTAATATTAGTTCCTTAGCTGGAGGAGGAATTATGACTTCACGGGTGTCCGTTGCAAGAAGCTTCCATTTATTTTCATTGTGTTGTGTGCCATTTTGCTATGAGTATGATAGCTTTGCGATCATATAGATTTGTCTGGTATTGGCTGCTTTCATCGTGTTGGCATGCAAGCATTCATGTTGTACTTTGAAAAGTTGTTCAGTTTGCCCACCATTCATGCCTTCATGGTATGTTTTAATTTCATGCCTTTAGTTAGACGTCATTGATATTTTTCACTTTGTGGTAATTTGCATTCTCGCCTCATCAGATACAGTAGTGAGTTTCTCACATGATATTTCCTAAATCCCGCAATCTTCTTTTCCTTTCTTCGGTGCTCCATAATATTTGTCAACTTTTAAAAATTTACTACATGAAGTTTCTCATGTTACAACAATAGCCTTTTATGTCATGGTTGCATACTAGCTACTTGCTATGTTCCTTGAACTGTTGCATACCGGCCATGCTCCATGCTTGGTGTACAGTGGCATTTTGTAAATATTGTGATTTTTTTTTTTGTGGTAACTTTGTTTATTTTTCACATAATGACTGTTCAGAAAGGAGTGATGTTATCTTCCGCAATCTTGTGAAGTCTGTCTATACCAGCACTAGGTTAGCCAAGTGCGATCAGAATTGGCCTACATTATACCTTACTCCTTTAATTGTAGTCTAGGCCTACATTCTCCTTGTGTTACTTACACTACAGCCTCTCGTTGCAGAGTAATAAACATGTTTGTTGCAAACTAGGGAAAAAAAAAAAAAAAAAGTATGTTGCCTAACTTTTGTGCTCTCAACGGCAGACTTACTTGGTTGCAGGCACGGACCTACGTTAGGCCCAGTGGGGGCATCTGCCCCCACTGAATTTTTTCTTATTTCTATTATATACCTATATTTTTTGTTAAAATCTGAAGACTGCCCCCGGTTAATTTTTATGGTATTATACACTCACCCCCACGAAAGTTTAGGTCATGAAAAAAGAGTAATCAATTCTCTCTCTATTACCATGTCAATGGTAGAGCCACAATCACTCAGCTTTTTTGTTATTTTAGGTTTGCATGTCTATCTTTTAATGATTGTATAAATGCCCCTACAGAATATTTATCAAAAAAATAAATGCCCCTACAAAATTATAGAAATATCCTTGGTCCTAAAATCCAACACAAAGACGAGAGAGAGAGAGAGAGAGAGAGAGAGAGAGAAGGGAGGAAGAAGCATGTTTAGCCAACTTAGTGACTAGGTCTGTCTAATAGCTTGTATTTCTTGTTTGTATTTTTTATAAAATATTATAGTAATAGAAATATATTTAATGACATTGAAAATGAGGCATACAACATTTACAAAAAGTGAAAATTCATCGAATACAATTATAAATGTATTGAATAGAAATATTTTCAATTAAAATTTACGTATTTGTATTTATTATATTGGTTAAAAAAATTCCAACTCTGCCCCACTAAAAAAAAAAAAACTTCTGGGTCCGTCACTGCTTGGTTGTGCCCTAGATAAGCACCACTGGGCTACTTCTGTGAAGGGATGGCAATTTCCCTCGCCCCGCCCCAATGGGGCTGATTTGGTAGCCCTTTAAATGGGTTTGGGGCAAGTATGATAAAATAATTAAAAAATCGAAACAGGTTTGGGGCAGAGGCGGATTTAGTGGCAAACCCGACCCGACTCGATTCTATATGTACCTTTAAAATATATATATATATATATATATATATATATATATATATATATATATATATATATATATATAATTTAATATTTTTAAGACCCTTGTTACTTTATTGAAAGTCAGTTAATATATTAATGTTTACTACTTATGCTGCGTTTGGTGTGTAGAAATGAAATGGAATGTAAGTGGGAATGGAATGAGAATGAGACATTCCATTCTATTGTTTGGTTGTAAATATGAAATGTGTAGGAATGGAATGATAATAACCATTCTAATGTTTGGTTGGACCAATTTAAAATTTAGAATGGAATAAATTTTTAATTGAATTCTCCAAAATATCCCTCTTAGTAACAAATAAATTAAATTAACAAAATGACATTCTCCAATAATTTTTTAAAAATAAATGGTGGCAGTGGTGGTGGTGGATGGTGGAAAGCGGTAGTGGTGTAGGTGGTGGTGTTGGAAGGCGGCGGTGGTGGCAATGGTGGAAAGTGGTGACAGCAGTGGTGGTGGAAGGTGGCAGTGGTGTTGGTGGAAGGCGGTGGCAGTGGTGTTGGTGGAAGGCGGTGGCAGTAGTGTGGTGGTTGTGGTGGAAGGAGATAGTGGTGTGACTATGGTGTTGGTTGAAGGCAGTGGAGGTGGCGGCGGCTGCGGCGGCGGTGGAAGGTGGTGACGATGGTGGTGGTGGTGGGGGTGGTGGAAGGCGGTGGCGGTGGCGGTGGCGGCGGTAGTGGTGGTGGTGGCGGTGGTGGTAATGGAAGGTGGTAGACGGTGATGGCGGTGGTGGAAGGCGGCGGCGGTGGTGGTGGAAGGCGGTGGCGGCGGCGATGGTGGTGGTGAAAGGTGGTGGTGGAAGGAGGCAGCAGTGGTGTAAAGCTGTGGTTGTGGCGGTGGCGGTGGTGGAAGGTGGTGGCGGTGGCGATGGTGGTGGTGGAAGGCGATGGTAGTGGTAGTGGTAGTGGTAGTGGTGGTGGTGGTAAAAGGCGGAGGTGGTTGGTGGTTTTTGGACTTGGAATATGAGGGTTTTTTAGAAAGTCGATTTGTTTAAAAAAATTACTTGGGAATGGAATGGCCATTCCATAGGTTTCGTTGTAGAATAGATTTTCATTCCAATGGAATGGTCATTCCCATTTTAAATTGCATACCAAACAAAGGAATGGTTGGAATGGGCATTCCATTCTTGCACACCAAACGTAGCATTAGTGATTTACAAGCTGGGCCAGCTTATTTTGCAGCCCAATTTGAGCACAATGGGCTAGTTTTTTTTTTTACTAAATAAATTTTTTTTGATAAGTAAAATGTATTAGAAAGCGTTCAAAAGGGGAACGCGTCCCAAGCTGTACAAAAACAAAACGGAACCTATGAACTCAAAGAGCCCAAAAGGTCCACAATATCCTCAAGAGAAGTATAATCTCTCCCCAACCCCAACAAAAAAGAGTAAAAGTAATAGAAAATTTTAGCACCCCAATGGAAGACTCCTTCCCATCAAAAGATCTTTTATTCCGCTCTTTCCAAAGGCTCTACCAAACGTAAAAAGGGGTCACCCTCCAGAAGTCTCTCGCCTGAGCCCCCACCCATTGGCCCCTCCAAATATCCAGCAAATCCCGAGAAGTCCGAGGCATGACCCAATGAATACCAAACAAATGAGACTCCAACAGTCATGGGCCACAGGACAATGCAACAGAAGGTGATCCACTAACTCCCCATTAATTTTACAAAGACAACACCGATTAACAATGATATGTCTTCTCTTCCTCAAGTTGTCCAAAGTCAAAATCTTACTCCAAGCTGCAATCCACACATAAAAGGCTACCCTAAGAGGCGCCTTAGACA